CTTTCTTTCTTTCTTTCTTTCTTTCTTTCTTTCTTTCTTTCTTTCTTTCTTTCTTTCTTTTTGACACAGGGTTTCTCTGTGTAGCCCTGACTGTTCTAGATTCGCTCTGTAGACCAGGCCGGCCTCAAACTCAGAGCTCCTTCCTGCCTCTGCCTCTCCGAGTGCTGGGATTACAGGCATGCAGCAACACACCCACCAGCTCTAATTTTCATTTTATTGTATGTGTATGAGTGTTTTGCCTACGTGTGTGTGTCTGTGCACCACTTGTGTGCCAGGTGCCTGGTGACCAAGGAGGCCAGTAGAGGAGCAACAGATCCCATTAAACTGGATTTACTGATGGTTGTGAGCCACCATGTGGGTGCTGGGAATCGAACCCTGGTCCTCCGAAAGAGCAGCCGGTGCTGTTAACCACGGAGCCATCTCAGTGGTTTAACTAAGGTGCGTGTGTCTAATGGAACACCGTATGGCTATTAAAAGTGGCATTCAGAAAACTGAAGTAGGAGGACTAAAATTTCAAGGCCAACTGAGCTATGTAGTAGGACCCTGTCTCAAAAAGATGAGAGCGATGGGCCTGCAGGTGTTGGGGATGCACTTGGAATCCCAGCAAGAAGATAGCAAGTGTGAGCCCAGCTTAAGCTGTATCTGGAGTTTGAGGCTAGCCTAGGCTACAGGCTGTTTCAAACAAATAACCCAAACAATCTCAGAGCAAAGAGCACCTGCCTATTGCTGCAGCCTGGGTTTGGGCCCCGGCTGCTGGGGAGGAATGTTAAAGCTGGCTGGGTTTGGGGCATTTACATTGTCTTAGTTTCTCTTTCTTTGTTTTCGTTTTTCTTTGTCTTTGGGTTGTTTGAAGCAGAGATCTTGAAAAACCAGCCTTGGTTTTATCCGTACAATCCCGCCTGCCTCAGCGCCTGAGCCCTGGGGTGGCAACCGTGTGCCACTTCAGCGGCTCGTGTCTTCACTGGGTAGTTTTTAGTCTCTTTTCCTCTCTTAAACAAACGCAAGGTCAGGGCTGGAGAGATGGCTCAGAGGCTAAGAGCACTGGCTTATCTTCTAGAGGTCCTGAGTTCAATTCCCTGCAACCACATGGTGGCTCACAGCCATCTATGGTAAGATCTGTTGCCCTCTTCTGATGTGCAGGCAGAATGCTGTATAAATAAGTAAATAATTTTTTTTTAAATGCAAGGCTGCCACCCCAGTCATCCCACCTATGTGACTACAGGCAAAACTATGTTCTTCTCGGAAGAAAAGGTGTCATTTAAAGCTTAGTTCTAGCAGTGACTGGGACAGATTCTATCTTCCCCTCAGTCAGAAGCGAAGGAAAGAGAACGTCGCAGAAATTATTGTCCAAGCTCTTCAGATGTCCCCCTGTGAGACTGACCACTATGACCCAAGGCAGGGGAGCAAGACCAGCTGAGAGGCCAGTTCTTTCCTCAGGGCCTTGTCCTGGGGAAGGGCTCAGGTCACCGTCACTGGGGGGCCAGCTTTGGGGTGAGCGGGAGCAGGCGGCAGAGTGGGGAGAGTTCTGCACCCCTCGTCCCGGCCTCGATGCTTGGTTCACCCCGTGTTGCTGTCGCTGGGAGGGGACGAACACCTACCACATCGGTCGAAGCATCCATCCCTTCACCGACTTCAGGTAACTCTGGGACTTGCTCTGGGAAGAATAAAGACACAAAAGTCAAACACAGGACCCACATTACCCAGCGATGCCATGTGTTGTACCCAGAGGCCTGAGAGCAAGACCTGGGTAGCTTGTTAACGTCTGCGGTAGCATCAGCCACACGGGGTAGAAGGGACCGGTGGGAGAGGCAGACACCGCGGAGCACGCCTTCGGTCCCGGCGCTCAGGGCGCAGGGGCAGGTGGGGCTCTGTGAGTTTGGGGCCAGCCTGCTCTACAAAGGGAATTCCAGGACAGCCAGGGCGACACAGAGAAACTCTGTCCTAAAAAAGAAGCAGAAGCAAAGGAGGAGAGGAGGAGGAGGAAAAGGAAGAGGGAGAGGAGGAAGAAAAGGAAGAGAAAAAGGAGGAAGAGAAGGAAGAGGAGGAGGTGGAGGAGGAGAAGGCAGAGGAAGAGAGGAGGAGAAGGAAGGAGAGGAGAAGAAGGAGGAAGAGAAGGAGGAGGACAAGGGAGAGGAGGCGGAGAAATGGGCAGGATCTAACACCTCGGTGCCTGGCATACACTAGGCCCTGGGTTCCTTGCTAGCACTGAGTAAGAAGGCGGGGAAACAGCCCAAGCATCCACCAAAGCTGTAGCTGGATAAAGAAAATCTGGTGCACGTCTGCCGTGAACTATTATTCACTATAAAAAAAAAAAAAAAATAAAGGTTCATACTACAACACAGCTGAACCTTGAAAACTTTATGCCACGTGACAGAAGCTGGAAACATGAAAGGACTCCATTGTGTGTGAGTGACTCAATTGTGTGACTCCATCTATAGGAAGTGGCCACATAGGACATCTATGAAGAGACTACAGATTAGTGACATCAGGATCTGAGGGAAAGCTGCTCAAAAAAAAAAAAAAAGAGCCCATTCATTAATTGTGTAAAGCAGATGTGGTGGCTCACGCTTGTGATCCAGGTTCTCAGGACACTTAGGCAGAAGGACTGCCTGACTTCTGAGGCAACCTGGCTCAGAATAAACAAACAAATAGCAGAGCATGCTGGGTCGTGCCTAGAATCCCACTTGGAGCCAGGAGAATGACACAATTTAAAGCACTGGCGAGACCTTGTCTCAAAAAATAATAATAATAATTAAATAGTAAAACAGAGAGAGGGGCTGAGGAGGCTCAGTGCGTGTCTGCCGTGCAAGCAGGAAGGCCTAATGTGACTCTAGAACACACAGAAAGGCAGAGTGCAGGCCTCCAAGCTCTGCAAGCCCAGCTTTTTTTTTTTTTTTTTTAATAGGAACACAGAGACGGGAACACCCAGAGGCTCGCAGGGCAGTTAGGCTGGTGTGTGCAGCAGGAAAGCGACAGAGGCCTCTCTCGGACGAGGGGGACACGGGCCAGCACCTGAGGAGCGCCCTCCCCCGCTGCGCACTGCGGGTTGTTGCAGTTACATCCAAATGCACACGAGCGTGCACACGCATACCAGACACACGTACACAGACACACACGGACACACACAGACACACACAGACACAGACACACAGACATACACAGACACACAGACAGACACAGACACAGACAGACACAGACACATACTGCATTGGGTAGGGTTTGGTTTGGTTTTTGTTTTGTATTGTCAGCTTGACACAGGCTAGAGTCCCCTGGGGAGAGGGACTCTCAGTTGGGAAAATGCTTCCATCAGACGGACCTCTTGGCACGTCTGCAGGGGCATTTTCTTGACTAGTGATCAACACCGAGTCGTGCCAGCCCGCTGCAGGAGGCCATCTCTAGGAACGGGGTTCTGGGCTGTATAAAAAAAAAACAGAAAAGCAAGCCCAGAGGCTAGATGGAGACGGCTCATCGCTAAGAGCACCGGCTGCTCTTCTAGAGGACCCAAGTCCGGTTCCCAGCACCCACACTATGGCTCATACTCATCTGTAATTCTAGTTCCAGAGTGACACTGTCTTCTGACCTGTGATGCACAGACATACATGCAGGCAAAACACACATTACACACACTTTAGACTACAAAAAGAAAGAAGGAAGGAGGGAGGGAAGGAAGGAAGGAGGGAGGGAAGGAAGGAAGAAGGGAGGGAGGGAGAAAGGGAGGGAAGGAAGCTGCCTGAGCCACAGGAGCAGCCAGCACACATCACCCCCGTGGTCTGTGCTCTGGCTCCCGCTCCTGGGTCCCTGACCCGCTTGGCATCTCTCAATGATGCCTTGTGTCAGGACATGTGAGCAAAAGGGTCCTCCCCTCCCTAGGTTGGGCTTGGTCAGTGTTTCATCACGGCAATAAAAGTCAAACCAAGATACATACATATGTGCATATACATACATGCATACACATGTTAAACAGTTACATGTGTGTGCACACACGAACACAGACTCGGGAGTCATCTGGCACCACTCTGTCAAGGTGCTCAGCGTGCCTTTCTTTGAGGAGGATGAAAGCGTTCTGAAATTGGAGGTGTCGATGGTACAGCTTTTGCACAGGCCCCAGCCACCAGTTTAGGGCAGCTTCTTGAACGGGGGCTGCAGCCCCACACGGGTTGCGTGACAGAACACGGAACATTGGGAAAATGTGACAACAGTAAGAGGCTTCTGACCAAAATGAATTTAAAGGGCTGCCCCGGGGTCTCGGTGGGTGTAGGCGCTTGCTGCCAAGCCTGGAGCTCTGAGCGTGAGCTCTGGGGCCCACATGGTGAAGGGAGGGAACTGAGCCCGCAAGCTGTCCTCCAACCTCGCTTAAACACTTCGGACACGCACGCACGTGCACACGCTGAGGAGAGAAGTACAAGTACAGTTAATATTCCTTCGGCTAAGATGACCAAGAGCATACTGAAGCCACGGCGCCTCTGGCAGCCGTCACCCGTCACCCGTGCTACACTTTGCATGTTCACGAGAGCCTTCACACACACACACACACACACACACACACACACACACACACACAGTCACACACCAGTGCACATACCACAAACACATTGCCAACAAACACTGCCTGAAACAGCTCATCTCAGACTGGAGGCGATTGCGAGATCTGAACTGCAGGGCTTTACTGTACACACGGAGTTTTCTGCTCTCATCACAACATAATGGTTTAATTACGGGGAACAAAGACGTTAATATTTTCCTGGCATTTCTCCTCAGCGTGGAAGTAGCAAACTGGTGTATCTTCGGACTGAGTTGCACTAATGTGTTTGATGTCTGAGGTTGCTGTTGGGAGTGGGAGCGGCGGGGCGCAGGTCACACCGTCCTCGGAGAGCAGAGGCGGGAGGGGCCGTTCCAGGCCAGCCTCAGCTACAGAAGAGCACCTTAAGAGCACACGAGGCAGCATTCAGGAGGCAGGCGCCGGTGAGGCTCCGGGGTGCAAGGCCAGCCTCGTCTACACAGGGAGCTCCAAACCAGCCAGAGACCTGCTCTTTCGAAGTCTGCTGCCCGGTGCGGCCCATGACTCCTGTAACTCCAGTGAGGCGCTTTCTATGCCTCCGGCCTCCTCCAGCAACGCAGTCATATGAACAATCCCCACAGGTAGCCACACACCTACAGATATGACCCATCAAAAAATGAAACAAGTCAGGCTGGAGAGATGGCTCAGTGGTTAAGAGCACTGGCTGCTCTTCTGGAGGATCCAGGTTCAATTCCCAGCCCCTACATGGCAGCTCACACCTGTCTGTAACTTCAGCTCCAGATGACCTGAGCCCCTCACACAGACATGTATGCAGACAATGACACCAATGCACATAAAATAAAAATAAACAAATTTAAAAAAAAAATCCTTTTTTTTTTTTCAAGACAGGGTTTCTCTGTGTAGCCTTGGCTGTCTTGGACTCGCTTTGTTGACCAGGCTGGCCTTGAACTCTGCATGGGTCTGCCTCTTGAGTGCTGAGACTACAGGTGTGTGCCACCATGCCCAGCTGCAAAATAAATCTTAAAGCTGGCTACGACAAGGTGCAGATGGTTTGAGAAACGAAAAAAATTAGAATTAGGAATATGCCAGCATGTGGATTCTATCTCCCACAGAAGCCTGCCTTTCCCCATCCCAGACCCTCCAGTCTGCCTCGTCCGCTCTGGGGTCCACATTGGTTCTCTGCCTCTGCACTCCCAGCTCATGCTAGGGACAGGGTAAAACAAGGTTTCCCATCCTTGGGGTCTGGAGGGAGAACAAATGAGCGAGAACTGAAAGACTGGGGGAGAGGACGCCCCGCCCTCCAGGAAGGAGCCTGTGCAGAGGGAATGAGGGATGGAGACAAAGAAGGAAAAGACGACAGAACGCAGGACTGCAGAGGAGGAAGCCATGTCCTGTAGGAGCTGATGGCAGTCCAGTTTCACTCATGACTAGCCTCTGAACCAAACAGCCACCATCTTCTCCCAGAGTTTAGTGGGGCCTGCATGCGAAAGCCTGCCCCCGCTGGACCTGTTGACTTGTGGCCTTCACTCATGAAAAGAGGCCATGAGGAAGCCATGAGACGCCACCTACGTTTTAGCCCCCCTTCCAGCCACCTGTCTGACATTCTGCTCTAACTGCACATGAGCTGGGGGGTCTCAGGGAAGAGTGAAGGGAGGGAGGGGCTCCACCCACACAGCCATGGGAAAACCGTTGTCCCTGAGGAGTAAAGACCTCCCGAGATGGAGGCCCTCCTGTAAGTAAGCCCTCACTTCTGCTCGCCAAGACAGGCCATGAAGTCACTGTGCCTCAGGACCACTCTGCGGGCTTGTACTTTGGTTGTGTTCAGACCCTGGAGGGAGGCATTGTTTACATCTCTCCAAGAGAAAAAAATCTTAGCAACAGGAGACCAAGAGGGAAACTGAGGCAACACTGGAATACACTGGTTTTGTCTTCTCTATCACAACTGATACAAAGACGCGCAATGCTGCTGGGCATGGCGGCGCAGGCCTTTAATCCCAGCAGAGGCAGAGGCAGGCGATCTCTGTAAGTCCGAGGCCAGCCTGGTCTACAGAGTGAGTCCAGAACAGCCAGGGCTACACAGAGAAACCCTGTCTGGAAAAAACAAAACCAACAAACCAAAAAGCAACACCACCATA